GCCTCTACATGCAAAGGATAGTCATACCCCTGGGCCTTTGCACGTGCTATTCCTTCTGTCCAGAAAGCTCTTCCTTTAGGCATATTATCTTTTCCACCTCATTCAGGACTTTGCCTAAAATTTGCCTCAGTGAGGCCTTCTCTGGCATTTCTCCACCACCCCTGGCTTGGATTGCAAATCTACAATTTCAGTTCATTGGGAAACCCAACAAGGCCTTATGAAGTACATACTCCAAAGCCTCTCTGTAACTATTTTCTTTTCTTCTTAACAGAGAAATGATGGCATTAAAACAAAAAGAGAACTCACTGTGAACAAGAGAAAGCATCCAGGTGAGACTTTGTTATATAGTATGATACAATAGGTTTTGGTGTCAAGAGACCTGGGTTCAAATACAAGCAGTGCTTCTGACTGGTTGTATAATTTTTGACATGTTTTTAATTATCCCAATATCTGTAAAATGAAAATAACAGTAATCACTACTAGCAAGGCATTTGTGAGAATTAAATAATCTAATATAGGTGTAGTATCTTGCATGCCTGGCAAGTAGCTGTTCCGTATACTTTCTCTCCTACCTTACCTTGATCCTAAAAATAATTAATGGGCACAGCCTTCAGTGTAGGAATGAAGTGTGTTATGAAATTTAGTTTGTTGGCCTGTCTGATGTTTCAAACATCAAATATGTTTCTTCATGGAAACAGTGATGCACAGAGTTGGTTGTTAGGTCCTGGGTCAGTCCATCAAAGCCTTTATACAGCTCAATGAATTTGCCAAACAACAATATGCTAATAGTACCATAGACCCTACAACTATGTGTGACTGCAATTCTTTAGGAAAATGAAATTAAAATTTCAACTTGGAATGCCACAAAATATATTTTTCCTGGCAATAAAAACGACAGTCAAAATACAGCAAGTATTTATTGAGCTGATATTATGTGCCAGGCACTATTTTAAGGACATTAGATGAATTAAATCCTCACACCAACACTTCGAGTTAAGTACAGTAATCATTTTTATTTTATGGAGAGTGAAACCTAAGGCACAGAGCTAGGGGCAAGAGCCAGGATTCAAACCTAGTCAACCTGGCTCCAGAACCAGTGCCACTGACTGCTGACAATGTGACCAGGCTCACCCTTTCCCTTTTCTCACTGCCTCTCACCTGCCTGACATTAGGAGTGGGAATCCTCTCAGCTCCTCACTTCTTGGGGCAACCCCCAGGGCCTCAGGCAGGCGTTCCAGCCTGTAATGAGATGTAGAGAGTAAGGGATGGGCTGAGGCCTTACAGTGTGTGATGGTGGGTGCTTTGGGGATATCTTAGTCATCTAGTGCTGCTACAACAGAAATACCACAAGTGGATGGCTCCAACAAAGAGAAACTCATTCTCTCAAAGTCCAATAGGCCACAAGTCCAAATCCAAGGCATCAGCTCCAGTGGAAGGCCCTCTCTGTTGGCTCTGAAGTAAGGTCCTCACCATCAGTCTTCCCTTGGTCTGGGAGCTTCTCTGTGCAGGAACCTCAGGTCCAAAGGATGTGCTCTGCTCCCGGCACTGCTTTCTCGGTGGTATGAGGTCCCCATGTCTCTCTGCTCTCTTCTGTCTTTTCTATCTCAAAAGAGATTGGCTTAAGACACTATCTAATCTTGTAGACCTTATCAGTTGTCATGGATTGAATTATGTCCCCCCAAAAATGTGTCTATCAATTTGGCTGGGCCATAATTCCCAGAATTGTGTGGTTGGCCTCCATTTTGTGATTGTAATTTTATGTTATAGAGGATTAGGGTGGGATTTTAACACCACCCTTATCGAGGTCACATCTCTGATCCAATGTAAAGGGAGTTTCCCTGGGGGGTGGCCTACACCACCTTTTATCTCTCAAGAGATAAAAGTAAAGGGAAGCAAGCAGAGAACTAGGGACCTCATACCATCAAGAAAGCAGTGCCAGGAGCAGAGCACGTCCTTTGGACCGGGGTTCCTGTGCAAAGAAGCTCCTAGTCCAGGAGAACACTGAAGAGAAGAAGGCCAACAGAGAGAAAAAGCCTTCCCCTGGAGCTGACTCCCTTAATTTGGGCTTTTAGCCTACTTTGACTGTGAGGAAATAAACTTCTCTTCGTTAAAACCATCCACTTGCGGTACTTCTGTTAGAACAGCACTAGATGACTAAGATATCAGTATAACTGCTGCTAATCCATCTTATTGCATCATAGTGATAGAGTTTACAACACATAAGGAAATCACATCAGATTACAAAATGGTACACAGTTATACAATACTGAGAATCATGACCCAGCCAAGTTGACAGATATTTTAGGGGGACACAATTCAATCCATGTCAAGGGATATAGGTCTTTTGTAAACGTCCTTGGACATGTCTCAACCTCAGTCCATGCCATATTACCTGCTTCCTTTTCTTTGGAGAAGCCTGGGATTGATCCATCTTCTTTCTTATAAAACTGCCTTCTGCCTAGTCCTCCAGGACCCTTAAGAAACATGTCTCATAAACGATCCTCATCTTATCTGTCCCTGAAGATGGCATGGTGCTGCCCTGAGAAATCTAAAAGATTTATAAGAGGTTCCACTGCCAATAGCACTGAAATGAGACCCAGGATAAAAAGATGCCCACCCATTTCCTCAGTTTCTCTAAATTTCTTCACATTCTTGGTCTGGCATCCATATATGAGCTTCGGAGGATCTTGGACCCCCCTTGGAATTTTATCCAAGTTTTATATGAATGTGTCTAAATGAATTTTGAGTGGGAGAAAACTCATAGGATCTATCTTCTCTCCCAGCCCAAAACAATTACTAATCTTTCCTTAGGGAAAGAAAACACGCTCAGAAATAATGGTGAAGGTGAGGGCACACACAGGGCTGCAACGAGGATTTGTTTTGTTTTCATTTTGTATTTCATATGAATACTCAAACTCAGCTAATTAATGGAATTTTTTATAGGAGAAGGAAGGACTTTTTAGATAAAAGAGTGTGAAGTTGAGGATTTTATACTGGAGATACTTCAAAGAGTCTGAACTGAGGGAGGGAGATAGAAGAATGACTAGGATTTTCTCACTTTTTCTCCCTTCAGTCTTTTTTTTAATAACTGTGATAAAATAGATATAAACTTTACCATTTTAACTATGTTAAAGTGTACAGTTTAGTGGCATTTCGTACATTCACAATGTTGTGCAACTATTATCGCTATCTTGTTCCAGAACTTTTTAATCACCCTGAAAAGGAAACTCCATATCCATTAAGCAGTCACTCCCCATTTCTTCTTTCCCTCAGCCCCTGGAAATCATTAATTTGCTTTCTATCTCTAAAGGTTTGCCTATTCTGGATATTTTATATAAATGGAATCATACAATAGGTGGCCTTTTATGCTTGGCTTTTTCACTTAGCATGTTTTCAAGGTTCGTACATATTGTAGCATGTATCAGTACTTCATTAATGTTTATGCCTGAATAATAATTCATTGTATGTATATATAACAATTTGTTTATCCATTCATTAGCTCATGGGCATTTGGGTTCTTTCTTTTGGCTATCGGGAATAATGCTGCAACAGAAACATTCTTATACAAGTTTTTGTTTGAACACCTGATTTAGATTCTTTTGAGTATATACCTAGAAGTAGAGTTGTTGTAGCATACGGTAATTCTATGTTTAACTTTATTGAGGAACTACCAAACAGCTTTCCGTAGTTGTTCTTGTTAGGTGCTGTCGAGTCGATTCCGACTCATAGTGGCCCTATGCACAGCAGAATGAAACACCACCCAGTCCTGTACCATCCTCACAATTGTTGCTATGTTTGAGCCCATTGTTGCAGCCCCTGTGTCAATCCATCTGATTGAGGGTCATCTTCTTTTTTTGCTGACCCTCTACTTTACCAAGTATGATATCCTTCTCCAGGGACTGGTTCCTCCTGATAACATGTCCAAAGTATGTGAGAAGAAGTCTCGCCATCTTTGCCTCTAATGAGCATTCTGGCTGTACTTCTTCCAAAACAGATTTGTTCGTTCTTTTGGCAGCCCCTGGTATATTCAATATTCTTCACCAACACCATAAATCAAAAGCATCAATTCTTCTTCGGTCTTCCATAGTGGTTGCACCATTTTCCATTCCTACCAACAATGGATGAAGGTTCCAATTTCTCCACATTCTCACAAACACTTGTTATTTTTTGATTATAGCCATCCTGGTAGGTATGAAGTGGTATGCCATTAGGGTTTTGATTAGCATTTCCCTAATGACTAATTGGAGTCCTGGTGAAACAGTGATTAAGAACTCAGCTGCTAACCAAAAGGTTGGCAATTTGAATCCACCAGCCACTCTTTGGAGACTGTATGGGGGCAGTTCTACTCTGTCTTATAGGGTCACTATGAGTTGGGGGTTTGGTTTGGTTTTTGGAATGACTAATTGGAGTCCTTAGGTGGTGCAAACAGTTAACATGCTTGGCTGCTAACCGAAAGGTTGGAGATTTGAATCTACCCAGAGGTGCCTCAAAAAAAAAAAAAAAAAGACCTGGAGATCTACTTCTAAAAGATCAGCCATTGAAAACTTCATGGAGCAGAGTTCTACTCTGACACATATAGGGTCACCATGAGTCAGAGCCAACTAGACAGCAACTGGTCGCAGTGACAGAATGACTAACTGATGTTGAGCATTTTTTCATGTGCTTTTTGACTATTTGTGTATCTTCTTTGGAGCTCCCTTTAGTCTTAACATGGGAACTCTGGTTGTTCCCTGACAAAGTGTAGGTGATGCTGGGGGTGGGACCAAGAACTGGCAGAAGTGAGAGGACAGACATGTATTAGGCATCGATGGGAACTGTCTCAAGTTCTTGCTCTGGATATGTATTTTAGTCAATGTCTAGATGAGTAGAACTCAGTAACAGCAGCTTGTGCAGTCCATGACCTCCAGGCTAAATATCTTGATTGCTTCACAGCCACTTCCTCAGCAATATTTCCCTCACAGACGGAAGAAAGAGGGTTCTGACTATCTTTCTCTCTCCAGGCCCAGTCCAGGAATATGAACTGCTTCTTCAGATGGCCTATAGAGATTCTAATGAGAAAAAGAACTTGAAGAATTTTCTGAAGCTCTTGATGCCTCCATCATTATTGTTACATGGGCCAGTGGAGATTATCAGAGTAAAGGCTACCACATGTAAGTCAACCCTGTTGACTGGAAGTGTAAATGGAGAAAGTGGGTGCATCAGCCAGTTTTGGTTAGGTTATGTTATGGAAATAAACATCTCTGCAATCTTTGTGGCTTAAAAAAATAAAGATTTTATTTCTTCCTCATGCTACATGTCCATGTTAGATTCGCAGAAGGACTGTATTTACCCAGACTGATGAATCTACCATTATCTGAATGTGCTCATTGGTGAGCCAAAGGGAAATAGAACACTGGAAGGTCTCACTTAGGCAGCTGAGTTTTCTAACTCAGAAGTGACACATATTAATTCAATTCACAGCCAGCCTATTGGCCAAAAATGGTTTCATTGCCCCATACAACTTCAAGAGGCCAGGATATGCAATCCTACTATTTGCCTGGAAGAGAGCAAGAAAATATTTGGTAAACAGCACTAATGACCACAACAGTGGGGTTCAGAGAAGTTAAACAATTTATCTAAAGCAGTGGTTGTCAAAGTTGGTGCCAGGACCAGCAGCATCAGTAATATCTGGGAATTTAAGAGAAATGCAAAATTTCAGAACCACCCAGATTACTGAATCAGAAACTCTGAGGATGGGACTCTCTAAGCGATTCCGATGCACACTAAAGTTTGAGAACCACTCATCTAAATTCTTTGTAGATGTTAAGTGGCAAAACCAGGATTAAAATCCATTTCTGATCTGTAGTTCACATTCACTCTGCTATGCCAGTAGTTTTCCAATTTCAGCATGCATCGTGCATCAAAATCACCTGGAGGGCTTGTTAAAATACATATTATTGGATTCCACCCCTAGAATTATGATTCAGTAGACCTGAGTTAAGGCCAAGCGTATGCAATTCTTACAAGTTCCCAGGTAAAACTGATGCTGTTGGTCTGGGCACCACACTTTGAGAACCACTGTGCTACACCATGTTGCTTCTCACTTGTATTGTCTTCTTTGACCTCTGATAAACAGAGCCTTACTAAGAGGGCTCTGCTAGGGACTTGGAGAGGCCCTTCATGCCTGTACTCTCCCTTCTAGTTAGCATTTCAGTGCCAGCATTAAGCCTATACCATTAATTCATTTATCTATTCAACACGTATTTAGTGGGCCTATTTTATGCCATAAACAGGAGGTACAGCAGTAAACAAAACAAATTTCCTACCCCCATAGAGCATATAATCAAGTGGAGGGATGCCGAAAATAAAAAATAAGCACATATACATAATATGATACATACTACATGTATGTGAATGTAATGTATAATATTATGCATTGTGTAATGATAAATGCAATGAAGAAATATAGAGTTCAGTGTGGTAGGAGAATTTGTTGTTGTAAACAGAGTGGTCAGGGAAAGCCTGTCTGCTGAGGTGACTTTAAAGCAGAGACCTGAAGGAAGTGAGGAAGCAAGATATGTTATTGTTTGGGGGAAAAGCATTTCAAGCAAAGGGAACAATAAATGCAAAGGCCATGAGGCAGAAGCATACCGGCCACATTTAAGGAACAGCAAGGAGGCCAGTGCGGTTGCGGAAGTGTGACAGAGGGAGAGAGTGGTACGAAATGCGACTGGAAGGGAAGAGGGGAAGTCAGGTCGTAACGGATTGTGTATGGCATTATAAGGACTTGGTCTTTCATCCTGTATGAGATTGGAAGTTAGCAAAGAGTTTTGAGCAGAGAAGTAGCATGATGTGACTTATGTTTTTAAAAGGTCACTCTGGCTGCTATGGGTCAAATAGGCAAACGGTGTGGGGAAAAGGTAAGGCTGGGAGCAGGGAGACCAAATAGGAGGCTACTGCAATGATCCAGGCATGATGGTAGCTTGGAGCAAGTGGTGGGGTGAGAAATGGTCCATTCAAGACATATTTGAAGTCAGAGCCAATAAGATTTGCTGATGGATTGTGTTTTATCCTGGGTTCCCCTGAGAGCGGTACCAGGGAGGTGATCCAGGGAGCAGGAGTGAACTTTCATTTGTTGCATCTGTTCTTTGTTTCTTCTTTCCTTCTTATTCTAATTTCTCTTGGATTGAGTATTCTGTAAGATTTCATTTCCTCTCCATTATCAGCTTACTATTTACACTTTCTTTTTTTTGTTGTTACATTTTTTTTAGGGGTTGCAATAGCATTTATGACATACCCAGACATTATCTTTTAACTGTCACAACAATTATAATCAACTGAGAAGTAGGCTTTATTATTTCAATCTTACATATGAAGAAACTGAGGGTCAGAGGCATTAAATAACCAACATCACCCAGCTGGTAAAATGGCAGAAAAGGTATTCAAACACTCTTTAGGTTTTCATTTCTAAAATCCTTCCCATTCACTGCGCAACTACACACATATTTCCACAAAGAAGTCTGTTGACCCACCTTTTCTGTCTATTAAAAAAGAATGGCTTTTGGTGGAAATTTCAGGTCATGTAGAAGGGAATGACTTTGCCAGGACTGGCTGATGGAACTTTTCAACATACCTATCAAAAAATAATCTTTCTGCCTTCTCTATCTTGCTTTTAAGGCCTACCTTGGAATGATGGTAGGTGTATGGAGAAGGGAGAAGAGCATCTGATAATATATTGGTCAAATATCCTCTAGAACTCCTCAAATAACTCCTTGATTGCAAATGCCCCCTTCTGCTTCTCTCTCCCACTGCAAGGACTGTCCACTAGGCATGCATCCTTCTTTTGAATGCAAACACCAGTCATTTTATTTTGGTTTACTAGGTTTCTGATGGAGTCCCTAGATTGTGTAAATGGTTAATGCACTTGGCTGCTAACTGAAAGGTTGGCAGTTTGAGTCTACCCAACTCAACTTGGAAGAAAGGCTTGGCTATATACTTCTGAAAATTCAGCCACTGAAAACCCTATGGAGTGCAATTTTACCCTGACATACATGGGGTTGGCACGAGTTGGAGTCAACTTGAAATGGCAACTGGTTTTGTTTTGGTTTTAGGTTTCTGATACCAACCTCAGAACCTGTTGATTGGACATTTCCTTATCATAAATATATTGCCATCTGTTTTCAGCTTTTGGTAAGAAATACTAGGTTCAGATTCTGAGTCAGAGCGAGGGATCAGAACTCAGGAATAGTCGTCATACTAACCAGACCCCATGAGACCAAACTTTGTTTTCATGCAGACTGTAGTAGCCTGAATGGAGCCTTACAGTGTGCTTGTGAAGATGGCCACAGCTGGTTTCCTCCCACGTGCCTTGATTCCCAGAAATGCTACCTTCACACGGCAGGGTCAATACAGAGCTGTAACTGTCATCTCAGCAACCTCAGCCAGAGTACCAATTTCTGCGAAAGAGCAAGTAAGCACATAGGGCACAGGAGGGGAGCTCTGGGCTGGAATTCCCTCCCACACCAGCATGCAACAGAGAGGGGACTCTGGTTCTTTGCCCATGTGTTGTTCTTTGCTTCTGTGGAAGAGAGCTAGCGTTTGCAGGTAGGTTGAAGGGCAGTGATGATATACTCCTTTAGTCTTAGTTGGACACAAAGCTTCATAAATACAGGAGATTCAGAAACTTGAGCTGACATTTGGACATCATGTCAACCTTGAGTATGTCCGGCTCTGCTATTATATAATTCTAATGGGATTAGGGGAGATATCACTGAAAACTCCAGTAGGGGAACTGCTTGAGTAAATACAGTTTTTCTTCCCACTTTTTTTTTTTTTTTTGGCCAACATCAATTTCCAGAAAAGGAAGGTTTAGAGGTGTGAAAGCAGGAGGAATACGTACTGAATAAATTAAAAGAAATGATCCAAAATTGCCAACAAATATGTTATGTGTATTGAATGTATTACCCAAACCAAGCAAAAGTTAAAATTCTAGTTTAGGAAACCAGTGTAAGTGTAAGGAGCTACTACTGACTTAGATTCATATGTGGATGATGAGGTGAGCCAAATGACCTGTTCTCCAGGTCTTAAAGGGATTTTAGGAACCTTCCCCAAGGACTACCCTAGTTATCTTGAAACTCCAAAGTTTGTTGGAGCTGAGCAAAGTGTGAGAGAGGAGCCCGAAACAACCCAGCTTCATTGGGCATCCTGGGGTCCCCGTCCCAGGACCACAGTAATCTAGATTAAGGCAACACATTTTTCAAGTACCACTTTCACACTCAGATCTGGGGTAAATTCTGAGAGAACACTTTCCCTTGCCCTCTATGAGTTAGCAGTCTAGTTGAGGAGGACAGGCTGAAATACAAGACAATATAATTTCTTCAACAAATATTGACTGAAAGCCTGCCTTTGGAAAGATTGGTTTATGTCTATATAGATTGAATTGTGTACCCCAAATTTATGTGTTGTAAATCCTAACCTTTATATCTGTGGTTATAAGCTCATGTGGGAATGGGGTTTTTGTTATGTTAATGAGGCAGTTAGCGTAGCCTGTTGCCGTTGAGACTATTCCAACTCATAGCGACCCTATAGGACCTAGTAGAACTGCCCCATAGGGTTTCTAAGGAGCAGCTGGTGGATTTGAACTGCCGACCTTTTGGTTAGCACCACCAGGGCCCCTATTCGTGTACAGTGTGTCTTAAATTAATCTCTTTTGTGATACAAAAAAAGCATACTAAGCAAGGAAGCAAACAAGCAGAGATGGGGGAAAATAGACGCCATGCCACATGAGATGTCCAAGGAACCAAGAAACAGAAGCTGAGAAAAGACAAGGACAGAGAGAGAGAGAATTACCCTAGATCCGGTGCCCTGAATTCGGACTTCTAGCTTCCTAAACTGTAAGAAAATAAATTTGTTTATTAAAGCCACCCACGTGTGGTATTTGTATTACAGCAGCAGTAGATAACCAAGACAATGTCTGATCAACCTTCAAGGGATACAAAAATGGGTTAGATATAGATGACACACGTAAGGGCCTTCCAGTATAGTAGGGAAGATGAGACTGTACACAAATAGATATGTGGATGTGAGAGAGGTATAGATAAAGTACTGTAGGAATTTAGAGGAGAGAGAAATTTTTGCATCTGGGGATCAGAGAAGATCTCACAGAGGAAGTAGCATTTGTGTAGACCTTGAATGAAGGATAAATGGAATTTGTACATACTGAGATGGGGAAAGACCTGTCCCAGAGCAGAAAAGCACCAGCCATGGGTAAGGTAGGGGCACATTAAGAGTTAGTAAGTAGTAGTATTTTTCCTTTTTAAAAATATTTTAAACAGGGACAATGTTTAAACTCAATGCCTAGATAGAGACGTATTCCAGTGTTACATGACTGCCTTTTTTTGGGCCACACATGAGTGGCTACACATTTTCCTACTCGTAAGTTCATCTCGATTACCAGCACTTTCCCATTACTATTCCAAATGCACAATTGAAAACTGGTTTTAAGTAGTCTTCCTGTATTATTTCAGGCCAAAATTAATTTTGAAAAAAAATTAAAATACCACTTGTTGAATACATGGGTTTTGAACTGAACCTCTGTAACTTTATGCTGGAATCCCTGAGTAGTGCAAACAGGCTCAGCTGATAACCAAAAGGTTGGAGGTTTGAGTCCACCCAGAGGTATCTTGAAAGAAAGTCTTGGTGATCTGCTTTTGAAAATCAACCATTGAAAACCTTATGGAGCACAGTTCTACTCTGACAAGGATGGGGTCACTATCATTGGGATCTACTTGACAGCAACTTTTTTTTTTTAAATTTTATGCTACTAATAAAATTCAGTTAGCAATTTTTGTATCTATAAACTTTTTTTTCCCACAGAGATTTGGGGCAGTTTCAAAATTAATGAAAAATTTACAAAAGATCTTTTGAATTCATCTTCTGCTAAATACTTCAAATATACAACTGGAATTGAAATTCAAGTAAGCACTTTCCACTTGTTACATAAGAATTGCTTGCTAAACATAAATTAAGATGATTTTAATTTAACATGCATGTTTAATACATATTCCTACTTATTAATTTTCAATGAGTTGTTACAGAGCAGTTATTTGCTCTGCCCACAACTGAGACACTTTCAATATCTTCTTTCTACGAGAGTTTAGCAGTTGACTTCTTTCTACTTTTTTTGTGTTCAGTTTGACCCATTTATTTGGGTAATATCATACTAAGGCTTCTTTATTATTTTATGTATCTTATTTGTCGAAAGAACATTTCCATGAACTAAGTTCAATCCCCAATATTTAGAATTTATTCCATAAGATCTCTCTTATCAAAGGCTGAAGTAAGTTAACGAGCAAAACTGCACATCATAATGAGGTCATGTAAAAACTAGATCAGGGTACCTCTGCCTATGATGATTCAAGTGTGGTTCCAACTGAAGACAGGGGCAAATGTTTTGCATATAGATTCAGTATAAATACCTGTGAATATTAATGGCTTTTTTTTTTTTAGGATAAAATGGATTTGGGGTGAATTTATTATATTATCTGGCACCAAATTCATCCCCTGTTCTATCAGTTGGTTACTTACTCTCTATTAGCAACCTCAAAAATAAATTTTAGCAATTGTATATATTTGTTGCAGTTTTATGACATGCAACCCTTTCCCCCTGTATCCCTTTCCTTTGCTCAGCTGTTCTGTTTATTTATTGTTCATGTCCATTTTTTTGTGCCTTTGTCAAGTGTGAGGACAAAGATCAACATATTGCCTTTTGTTCTCTTTGTAAGCTTACAGAAGCATACGGAAGAATTCAAGGTTTTGAGTTGGTCCAGGTCACCCAGTTTCGGTAAGTAACACAACGGCCTTAGAAGGGCTTTCCCCGAATTGTGTACAGCCCTGCAGAATGCCTAGTGCTGTTTCTAAGTGTCCTTGAGAGAAAACAGAGCAGAAATTGTAGTATTCTTACTAACAGTAAACAAGGGTCTATGATGCTTTAAGAAGTCTGAAGAGTAAAGCCTAGATTTTCATTTAAGTGACTTTAGGAACTTAAATAATGAAGATCATCCTCCAAGCTGTGAATCAGAGATCAGAATTGAAAAACCACAGCTGTAGGACAGAACTTGGGAGCAAGCAAGAGATTTAGGTGTATATGTATGGGAGGAGTCCCTGGGTGTGCAATTACTGCACTTGGCTGCTGAGAGGTTAGAAGTTCAAGTCCACCCAGAGGGGCCTCGGAAGAAAGGCCTGGCTATCTATTTCTGAAAAATCAGCCATTGACAACCATATGGAGCACTCTTCTACCCTGACACATATGGGGTTGCCATGAGTTGGAGTCGGCTTGATGACAACTTTTTTTTTTATTTACGTGTATGGGAAGGGGTAAAGGGTGGGGCAGGGGTGGATTTTTTTCTTTCACACACACAGGGGGCACGATGTTATGTAATTTTGAGCTAAAAGGGGAGCCTTGGGTAAAATATTATATTTTTGTGTACATATCATGTCTACATTATAGTTCAAAACCCAATAGTCATTGTCTACAACAAACAAAGAAATATTTAGTAAATGATTCTTTGTTTATGCTTTAATTCCAAAAGTTATTTGGTTAGCTAGCCATGTGTGCATTGATTACCAACCATTATTAGCCTGCTTGACAGAAGAAGTGGCTTAGTGGTCAGATAAATTGACTTCTTATATTTTTTTCACAGTTAACATAAAGAACATCCATAGGAAAATTTCAACAGCATTTTCTATAAATATATTGTCCTGGACATTGTCCTTTAAGTTACTGCATGTTCTTATATAACGTCTCTCATGAGTAATTTTCTTTAAAATGCAATGCTAAGAAAAATACTTTTTCTCTTACATTGAAGTCTACATAATTACTTGTATTTTCCTTTTTGACTTTGTTGTCAGAGAACTCATAGACAAAATTGAAACTCAATCACAGTATTTTTTTCTTTTTGTTCAATGTTCATAGTTTTTTTTTCCCTGGTCCTGGTTTTCTACTTCTATATTTGTAACTTATAGCCCATTGTATATATCTTATAAGCGGTCTCAAATAATTTGTAGACAAAATCGCAGGGAAATAGGCACAAATCTAAAAAACACAACTATTTAGGTTTTAGGGCAGTTCTACTCTGTCTTATAGGGTCACTAGGAGTCATAATTGACTCGAGGGCAAGAGGGTGTCTACATACATGATTTGAAATTCATCTTCATCTCTCACTGTCGTAATTTACTTATCTGTCAAATAGGATTGTTAATATCCATTGAACTAATTTAACCTCATTAAAGAAAATGAGATACTAAGTAAGAAAACACTTTGCAAATACTATAGAAGTGCCATTTTGATGCAAAAACATTGTGATGATTGCTACATGTAAGGGTATTTGGATTTATTTATACATTGTGAGTGGTAATTCAATGTAGTGATTAAGAAATTGATGTCTGGAACTTTGGAGGTTCTCATCCATCAATTAATAATTAATATTAATGTGACCTAGTGCTATTCTTCTGGTTTGCTTTTCTACCCCAGATATACTGAATCAGAATCTACATTTTAACAACAGCCCCAGATGATTCCTAGGTATAATAAATTTTGAGAACCACTATTCTTTTAGCGGTTCTCAGAACTGATTCCTACCCAGCAGCATTAGCGTTGCCTGAGAACTTGTTAGAAATGCAAATTCTCGGCAGGGGTTCCAACTGGAATGAACCAGTTTGAAGCTCTGGTTTTGATGAATACTTGCGTAAGTCACCTGTCAAGACAGAATATTTCCATCACCCCAAAGGTCCCCTTGTGCCCTTTTCCAGGGAATCTCCACACCCTTATGCACCAGCAACAACCACTGATCTGATTTCTGTCACCATAGGTTAGTTTTGCCTGTTATTGTTGTTAGGTGCCTTGGAGTCGGTTCCGACTCATAGCCAACCCATGTACTACAGAACAAAACACTGCCCGGTCCTGCGGCATTGCCACAATTGTTGCTATATTTGAGCTCATTGTTGCAGCCGCTGTGTCATTCCATCTCACTGAGGGTCTTTTTGCTGACCCTCTACTTTACCAAGTATGATGTCTTTCTCCAGGCACTAGTCCCTCCTGCTAACATGTCCAAAGTATGTGAGACAAACTCTTGCCATCCTTGCTTCTAAGGAGCATTCTGGCTGTACTTCTTCCAAGACAGATTTGTTCGTTCTTTTGGCAGTCCACGGTATATTCAATATTCATTCCCAATACCATAATTCACAGGCATCAATTCTTCTTTGGTCTTCCTTATTCATGGTCCAGCATTTGCATGCATATGAGGCGATTGAAAACACCACGGTTTGGGTCAGGTGCAGCTTAGTCCTCAAAGTGGCATCTTTGCTTTTTAACACTTAAAGAGATCTTTTACAGCAGATTCGCCCAATGCAATGCATCATTTGATTTCTTGGCTGCTGCTTCTATAGGCGTTGATTGTGGATCAGTTTTGCCTGTAGAACTGCGTATAAATGAAACCATGCAGTATGTACTTTTGTTTGTCTGGCTTCTTTCACTCAACATAATGTCTTTGAGATTCATCTTTGTTTTTCTGAGTATCTGTGGTTCATTCCTTTTTATTGCCGAGTAGTATTGTATTGTATGAACATATTACAATTTGTTTTTGCACTCCTAGGAGTCATTCTTGACTGTTTTCTTTTTCTCACACCCGAAATCTGCTTCATTAGCAAGTCCTATGGCTCTGTTTTCAAATAACAACCTGAGTCTGACCACTTCTCACCACCTGCACTGCTACCCAACTAGTTCAAGCTACTATCATCTCTTTCTTAACTAGTCTTTCAGTTTCCCTGATTGCCTCCTTTTTTGTCTGTTTTCTACTCAACAACCACAGTGGTGATCTTAAAAATAAATCTGGTCATGCCACTGCCTTTTAATGAAGAATAACACCTTTTAATAAATAATAGAACTCAAACTCTAAGGCCCTATGTGACCTGGCTCCTGGCTACCTCTCCTATATCATCACTATCATGGATTAAATTATGTCCCCCCAAAAATATGAGTGTCAGTTTGGCTGGGCCATGATTGCTGGTATTGTGTGATTTTCTTATATGTTGTAAATCCTGCCTTTATGATGTTAAGGAGGGAGAATGGGTGGAAGTTGTGTTAGTAAGGCAGGACTCAATCTCCAAGATTGGATTGCGTCCTGAGGCAGTCTCTTGAGATATAAAAGAGAGAAATGAGCAGAGGAAAGCGGGGGGACCTCATACCACCAAGAAAGCAGTGCCAGGAGCAGAGTGTGTCCTTTGGACCTGGGGTCCCTGTGTGGAGAAGCTCCTAGTCTGGGGAAACATTGATGAGAAGGCAGACAGAGAGAGAAAGCCTTTCCCTGGAGATAAAGCCCTGAATTTGGACTTTTAGCCTCCTTTACTGTGAAGAAATAAATTTCTCTTTGTTAAAGCCATAGACTTGTGGTATTTCTGTTGTAGCAGCACTAGATGACTAAGACAATCACCTACCGCTCTCTTCCTTGCTCATTGAACTTCAGTCATACTAGTCTAAGTTTGTCAAAGTCACGGGCATTTTCCTGTCCCAGGACCTTCACACGTGCTATTCCCGCTGCCTAGTATGGTAACCCAGTGCTGTTTGTGTGGTTGGCCCTTTCTTCTCATCCTTTTGGCCTCAGTTGCAAAGATCCTCCTCACATAAACCCTTCCCTGACCAGCCCTATTAAGGTGGGGCCTCACCCCTACCCGCTATTCTTATCACTGTACCTGTTCATGTCTCTCATTAACACTTAACAAAATTTGTAATTATATACAGTTGTCTCATTATTCATAAGTTCCATATATGTGAATTCACCTACTCACTAAAGTGTATTTGTAGCCTCAAATCAATACTCATGGTACTTGCACAGTCATTCACAGACATGTGCAGAGTTGAGTTTCTTGATGTGCATATTACCAGCTGAGGTCAAAGAAGGTGACACTCTGCCTTCTTGTTTCAGCTTTCATACTGAATACAAGTGTCCTTTTCATGATCTGTTCGGTGCCACGGTTTCCACATTTTTGTGTTTTGGTTGACGATTTTGCTGTTTAAAATGGCCCCCAAGAGTAGCGCTGAAGTGCTGTCTAGTGTTCCTCAGCACAAGAGGGCTGTGGTGTGCCTTATAGAGAAAATATGTTGTTAGATGAGCTTAGTTCAGGCATGAGTTATAGAGCTGTTGGCTGTGAGCTCCATGTTGATGAATCAACAATATAGATCGAATAACGTATCTTTAAACAGAAACACACATAAAAACAAGGATATATATGGATCAGTTGATGAAAATGTTATGACCAGAGGCTCACAGGAACCCTACCTTGTATTTTCCCTAGGATCGATGGTTCAGTATTCACTGATTCAGTGTTCATGATGACTTTATAAAACAGAACTACTGAAAATAACAACAACCAGCCGTATGTATTTGGTGGTAACTTGTTTCTTACTTGCCTCTTCTGGTAGAAAGCAAGCTCCCTGAAGGCAGGGATCAAATCTGTGTGGTTTATTCCTATGGTCCCAATGTCATGCAAAGAGTAGGCACAGAGTAGGCAGTGAATGAACAAATGGATTAATCTCATTTTTCTTTCCATGTACTCATTTCAGAGAAGGAAGCATCATTGTTGGATATGAAGTCATTGGTTCCAGCAGCCCATTAGAGCTGCTGTCAGCCATTGAACAGGTGGCTGAGAAGGCTGAGGCAGCCCTTCACAAGCTGTTTCCACTAGAAGATGGTTCTTTCAGAGTGTTTGGTGAAGGTAATACTGAATTCCCATTCTCTGCTTAGGTTAAGGTACCCGCTGCCATCAAGTTGATTCTGACTCAGTGGCCCAGTAGGACAGAGTAGAGCTGCCCCATAGGGTTTCCAAGGAGTGGCTGGTGGATTCGAACTGCCGACCTTTTGGTTAGCAGCCAAGCTCTTAACTACTGTGCCACCAGGGCTTTGTAAAAATCAAATGATATAGCGGGGGCACCGCTTAGGTTAAGGGAGTCCTTTAATTAGCTCAGTTGTGTCCTCAGAAAATAGACTGGAGATGTTTACAGAATTGTTCTAAAACTGGCTTTCAGTAGCAATAGGCAGCTATTCCCATCTACCCACCACCACCGCCATGATGAAACCCAGCTTCTACTGACTGTTTCAGATCCTTACTAATTGGTGATCTGATCTCCATCTCTCAGTGTAAACATTGTGGAAAAATGATTTCCCTGCAGGCTGTGATTAAAACTGTTCAGCAATAGTTTACTGGTACACGTTTTGAAAGAGCCCTGGGGTTGATAATGTTTCTAAATCATAATCCTAGGAACCAAGGAAAGAATCCTCTTCCAGAGTGTTTGGAAAAGGTAATACAGGTCTTTCACACACACACACACACACACACACACCCCCATACACCAATATTTTTCTTCAGATATTTTTATTTTCCTTTTACTCCTTTATAATCAATCTTAAACCTCTCCAGTCAATATTTGTGCCATTTTCTTTCAACAGCATTTATTTAATAAATGTATGCTAAGTGTCTGAAGTGTGTCAAACTGGGTTCTAGGCACTTAGGACACAGTAATGTGGGAAAACAAACAAAATCACAGCCTTGTGGATTTTGCATTCACTGTTTCTGTCTTCCAGTCCCAATCATTGTAAGAGTATACTACTAAGCCGGCTGCAAGAAGAACAGTGGCTGGTCACAATGTGAGAAGATTTTAAAGGGATACAGAGTAGGAAGTGTCACCTCCAAATCCAACTGCCCATCTATTGACCATATCGTTACTGCTTTGTTCCATAGGGTCTCAAAGATTGTCTTCTTTTCTAGGATTCCCTTGAAGGTTGCAAACATTTCCAGAGAATCATCGCACCCTGCCCTATTTTAACTTAAGAGTATTTAATAGTCCATTGAAAGCGAGATTGTTGACAAAGACCTGGCACCTGGAGGGAGAGGGAAAAACCTTGACATCAGGAAGAAGGAAGGGTGCTGATAGGGAAGAATCTGGGCGTCAAAGATAAAGTTTTCCCACTTCTCAATTTTGCCTGGATTTTGTCTCTGAAAATATGGCTTTTTAAAGCATTTAAATACTTCTACACGGTTTATGTAGAGAGCCAGGATATTTTGGAGCCATTTTTCCTCTCTGTTTTCTTTCTTTTCCAGCCCAGTGTAACAGCATTGTTTTTGGATTTGGGTCAAAGAATGATGAGTATACCCTGCCCTGTAGCAGCGGCTACACTGGAAACATCACAGCCAGGTGCCAGTCCTCTGGGTGGCAGGTCATCAGGGAGAACTGTGTGCTCTCTCAGCTGGAGGAACTGAAGAAGGTGAAGCATTTCCACCTGGTACACTTGCCATGGTTTTGAGTTTCACAGTGAGCATGCCCCAGTGAGCATGGCCAGGTAGAGGGTAAAATGTATCAAGTTACATCATTGATCAGTGTGCAGAAGGCTAGGGTGACATCCAAAAAATTTTAAAAAAAACCCATGTGTGTCAGAGTAGAACTGCATTCCATAGGGTTTTCAATGGCTGTGACCTTTCGCAAGTACATCGCCAGGCTCAGTCCCTGGTAAAGCAAGGGAGTGTGGGCGTGAGTGGCAGAGTCTAGACGGGAGCCGGGAGGGTCAGAAAAAGATCAGAATTTATGGTTTTGTTGGGGAGTGGTGCTTCAGTGGGGTAAATCAAAGCTGAGGAGGTATAAGGCAGATAGTAGGACTACACTAAGCTAGCATCAGAAGTCCAGAAGGCTGAGAATAAAAGGTCAAAGTGAAGGTGTGAGTCAGAAGCTAGTAGGGTAGAGCAAATAAGAATGTACACATACATATCAGAAATCAGGGCAGGGAGTGGTGACCATACAGGTGGAGGTGACCATACACAATGACAGAATGCAATGGATCTTAAGGTCCATTTGATTTACCAACTTCCTTTTATAGAATAGGAAATAGAAGATCAAGGGGCTAAAGGTCACGCTGCTGGCAATAGTGTTGGGTCTAGAAACATGACCACCTGATCCCCAGTTCAGGAGCTCTGACCTCATGATGCTCTCTTAAGCATTGCTGTGGAGTTCATTGCAACTCATAGCAACCCTATAAGACAGAGTAGAACTGCCCCATAGGGTTTCCAAGGAGCAGCTTGTGGGTTTGAACTGCTGATCTTGCGTTTGGCAGCTGAGAGCTTAACCACTGCACCACCAGGGCTCCTGATGCTCTCTTAGGAAGTTTCAATAATGGAAGACAATGCAGATACAAAGAAGGGGCAGAAGGAGAACTGAAGAGACAAAGCAGAGGGATTTTGAGACTGGTTCATAGCCACTGTCCTGCAGATGAATCTCTGTACTGAGCAGAATGTTAAGAGACCCCGTTATTGCAGTAAAGAACTCTGGACTGGTACTTACCCAGGGACTGTGGGACGTTTGCTTCTCCCTTTCTGGACTTCAGTTACCATATCTGCAAACTGGGGAGAGGGACTGGACTACATGACCTTCCAGCCGTATTCATGCTCTGACCCTCTTTGACTCAATTCTAGACATGGGAAATATGTGGGACTAGTCCACTCCAGGGACATACTTGCCTGGCAGGGGAATATAGGGGCAGGCAGACTCCCAGATGCCCTGGGCAGAGAAGAGCGCTGTCAGCTGAGAAGAGCAAGCAAGAGTACAGGTGGGATCTGGGCTTCTGAATGGACATGGGATTGATTGGAAGGGGACCCCTCTCCATTCCTGTCTTCCAAGTGAGCCCAGTATAGTGGCAGCAGATGGGAGTTCCAAAGGAGCAGTAAAAATCCAAATCCAGTAAAAAATGGGAGCTGACACCGGCCCAGCAGTCAAACCTCCATGTACATCCCTCTATCTTCTCATCCTACAAGGAGTTTTCAGCATAGAGTAGTGGATACAACATAGGATTTAGTACCAGTAGACTCTACTCTTCCACTTAACTAGGTGTGTACTCTTTGAAAAGTCACCAAATCTCACTGAACATCTATTTCTTTATAATCAGGATAACAAATTACGTGAAAATGCTTGTTAATGAATCTCTTCAAGTTTCAGTTTTCCTAGCTATAAAATGAAAATTATAATGGTACCTCCCTCAAAGTGTTGTTGAAAAGATTCAGTGAATTCCTGCAAAGCATTTAGCAGTGGCTGGAATATAGAAAACAGTAAATAACAGCCATTGTCGTTATCATCACCATATAATTGTCTCACATTATAATGCACAATCCAAGTGTTAGTTATATGTGGCCAAGAAACCTGATTGACATTAGGTAAAAGACATTGTTTTCTAGGACTTAGACCATTTTTATTTCCAGAATTTTAGTGCAATCGCAGACAATACCACTGAAGCAGCCGTGTCATCCTTGGTGCAAAATCTTTCAGTCATCATTGAGCAAAGTCCATCAACCACAGCTGGGAATCTAGCTTCGGTGGTGTCAATTCTGGGAAAAGTTTCAACCCTGTCACTGGCAAATCATTTCAAGGTGTCCAATTCGACAATGGAGGTATGGTCTGCCTGTGCTTGAACTGCTCACTTTAAATGCTTGATCTCATAGGAGGGATGACAAAAGCCTGAACGGAGGGGAACTATTAGGAAAGACTAAAGAGTCACCTTAACAGTCGTAATGTGAGCGTCACTGCTTTCTCTGCAGAGTACAAGAACTCATGGGATCAATCATGTGAGTTCAAAGTAAGAGGGAGCTACCTCTAAGTAGGTAGCCTGGGAAGCACCTGGCTTAGAGGAATGGATGAGCACTGTCTAACACGGGTGCCAACTTTTTAATATATGTTTGCAATCTGTAATGATTATTTTCTATAACCATAAACTGACTTTTAGTAGTATACTTAAAAAGAAAAAAGTCCCTTCCCTAGGCTGGGGAATTCATGATTGAGTTTGGATATTTAAAAATTAACATAAAAAAGCTATACAAATAGTATCTGATCATATAAGAAATGCAAATAAGCAAAAAGGAAAATAAATTACCTATAGTCTAGTCACTCTAGAATAGCCACTGCTAACATTTTAGATACGGCTTCAGTGGGTAGAAGAATAGTAAGTGACACATAGCAGTTAGTCAATAAATATTTGTTAAATAAATATCCTTCCAAACATTTTAGATATATGCATACTATATATAAAATATAATATTTTGTAAGATTGTATTATATATCATATATAATGTTGCTTATTGACCCACTTATACTTTACTGTCTATAGTGAACACCACATCAAAGATGACATTAAATATGAATAAGTTAATTTCCCTTGATTAAAGAAAAAATGCTCAGATTTGTTTAAAAAAAAAAAAAATCTGACCCCATCTTGTTTACAAGAGACCAACTAAAACAAAATGACACAAAAAGGCTAAAAATAAAACGAAGGGCAAAAAACAGAGCAGGCAAACACAAACTAAAAGAAAGCAGAGGTTCCTGGGGGCAATGGAAGAAGCACATTCTGGAATCTGTGCCAGAAGCCACAGAAAGCTGGCTTAGGATGATACATGGCTGCAGTGGCAAGCGGCCCGAGGTCAAATGCCTGGGAACCCAAGAGATAAGCAAGAGAGAAAGCGTTCTATGGGAATTGCTTAGAAAAGGAATATCTTAAACTAAGAAAAAAAAATATTGCTCTGAAGTCCAGGTTGTTTTCGATCATGGCCACCCCATGGGTGTCAGAGTAGAACTGTCCTCCGCAGAATTTTCAGTGGCTGGTTTTTTGGAAATAGATAGCCAGGCCTTTCTTCTGAGGTGCCTCTGGGTAAACTTGAACCTCCAACCTTTTGAGCATGTTAACTGTTTGTCTCACCCAGGGAACATTAAACTAAGACTGACCCTTAAAACCCCCAACAATTCAGTACTTCCTTGTTTCTCAGGCTCAGTTTTTAAAGATTTTTGTTTTATGTTCGCTAGTAAACAACAAAGGAGCCCTGGTGGCATAATGGTTAAGTGCTTGACTGCTAACCGAAAGATTGGCAGCTGGAACTCCTCAACTACTCCATGGGAGAAAGATGTGGCAGTCTGCTTCAGTAAAGATTTATGTCTTGGAAACCCTATGGGACAGTTCTACTCTGTCCTATAGGGTGGCTATAAGTTGGAATTGACTTGAGGGCAATGGATTTGGTTTTTGGTTTTTAGTAAACAACAAAGCATACATAAACATGAATTAAAACTTGAACGTCCATGACATGTATTTAGAACTTCTGATGTAAACAAAATAAATGTAATACGGGAAAGCAGTTAAACGTCTCAATCTTTGAGCCTCAGCCTACATAATAATGCAGTCATTTTTGCCATCTCAGGAGGAAATGCACACTTGTGCAGTCTAAATTGCGTGATTCTTTCTTATCCATGCTGAAATTCCAGTTTGCTTGCAAATGCCCTGGGGCGATCACCCTATGTTATGCATTGAATTGTGTCCCTTCAAAATATGTGTTGTAAATCCTAAACCTCATACCAGTGGATGTAATTCTATTTGGGAATAGGGTTTTCTTTGTTATGTTAATGAGGCCATATGAGTGTAGGGTATGTTTAAAGTCTATCACTTTTGAGATATAAAAGAGCAGATTAGGCACAGAAGCAAGCAAGCAGCAAAGGGAGAATGATAGATGTCACGTAGAAATCTCCAAGGAACACAGAGAACAGTGCCAGGCAAGCTGACAGACAAGGATTTTCCCCTAGAGTGCGCAGAGAGAGCCTCTCAGAAGAGCCGGTGCCTTGAATTCAGACTTCCAGCCTCATAAACTGTGAGAAAATAAATTTCTGTTAATTAAAACCAGTCCCTTGCGGTGTTTCTGTTACAGCAGCCCTAGATAACTAGGAAAATCTGCAATGTAATTATTTGGTTCTGCCAATCCCTTTCTTAACCCAAAGCTCCTACTGTGCAGAGCAAGTGAACAGAATTTAATTCATGAGTTCTATTTGGTCCTCAACAGAGTCAATTCTCTGAGCATTTTTCCTATTC